AGAGCCAGACAAGTATCACAACAGGCCCCTAATAACTCAGTTAAGAATGAGGCCTCAGTTCACAAGCAAAGGGGAATCAATCACCAATGTTCCTGGCAGTGGACTAGGAGAATTGCTTGTATGCCTGGGCCAACTCCTTTTCCCCCTCCCCAGGTACCTCAAGGCAATAACCAAATAAGAACAAGGCCTGGGACTTGTCCAGACTTGCCCAAGAATGGAAAAGCTATAGCCTTAGCCCACCCCTGCTAGCCCTAACCAATTAGAAATGTACTAATATGATTGGCACTTGCATAAGCCAATCCTAGGTAGAATGATCACACTGTTTTTAGAATTCCTTTAGTTGTCTATAAAAGAGCCTGCAAGCGTTCCTTGGGGGTCTTTGCGTTTGTTTTGGATGTGTGTGGCCATAGCATGCTGGTACCTTTATTCTCGAGATAGTAAATGCTCTTGTTGATTGCGTCATGTCTGGTGGTCTTTTTTGGGACTTCTCGTGGACCCTAACACAGGTGTCCATAGGCATATGGGTTTATGTCTGGGTCTTCAGTTTGATTCCATTGATAAACATGTCTGTGTTTGTATCAATACCATGCTGTTTTTATTACTGTAGCTCTATAGTATAACTTGAAATTGAGGGTGTTGATACTTCCTGCAGCTTTCTTAGTATTCAGGATTGTTTTAGTTGTGTTTCCACATGAAGCTGAAAATTGCCCTTTCAAGATCCGTGAAGAATTGTGTTGGAATTTTGATGGGGATTGCATTGAATCAGTAGATTACTTTTGGTAGGATGGCCATTTTTACATATTAATCTTTATCGATTCATGTACATAGGATTTCATCTTCTGATATTTTCATTTCCTTTCTCCAGTGTCTTAAAGTTTTGTTTTGTTTTGTTTTGTTTTGAGTTTTTTGAAACAGGGTTTCTCTGTTTAGCTTTGTAGGCTGTCATGGAACTCGCTCTGTAGACCAGGCTGGCCTCAAACTCACAGAATACAAGTTTTTTTCACTTGCTTGGTAATATCATTTGAAGCTATTGTGAAAGATGTTTTCCTTGGTTTCTTTCTCAGCCTGTTTGTCATTGTATATGGGAGAGCTGCTGATTTTTGTGAGTTAATTTTGTATCAAGCTACTTTGCTTATAAAAAAAAAAGAAAAGAAATTATCAGCTATGAGTTTCCCAGTGGAATTTTTGTTTTGTTTTATTTTTGTTTTTGTTTTTTTTGAGACAGGGTTTCTCTGTGTAGTTTTAGTGCCTGTCCTGGATCTCTCTCTGTAAACCCGGCTAGCCTCGAACTCACAGAGATCCTCCTGGTTCTGCCTCATGAGTGCTGGGCATATGCATTTAAAGGCATACACATACACTGCCGCCGCCATCACCACCACCACGCCCCAATGGAATTTTTAAGGTCACTATCATATCATCTTCAAATAAAGATACTTTGACTTCCTCCTTTCCAGTTTGTCTCCCCTTGATCTCCTTCACTTGTCTTTTATTGCTCTAGTTAAATCTTGGAGTACCATGTTGAATAGGTACGGAGAGAGTGAACCACCTTGTCTTGTTCCTGATTTAGTGGAATTGCTTTGAGTTTCTCTCCACTTAGTTAATGTTGGCTATGGGCTTGCTGTAAACTGCCCTTATTATGTTGAGGTGTGTCCCTTGTATCCATAATCTCTCTAGGACTTTTATCATGAAGGAGTGCTGGCCTTTTCTGTGAGATGATCATGTGTTTTTTGTCTTTCAGTTTGTTTACATGGTGGATTACATTAATCAATTTACAGCATTTCTCTGTGTAGGCCTGGCTGTCTTGGAACTTACTCTGTAGACCAAGATGGCCTCAAGCTCAGAGATCTGCCTGCCTCTGCCTCCCCAGTGCTGGGATTAAAAACGTATGTTACCACCACCTGGTATAGATAACCTCTTAGGGTTGCAGTTTTCCTGCTAGGGCCTTCTGTAGGGTTGGGTGTATAGATAGAAAAATTGCTTAAACTTGGTTTTATGGCTTTCTCCATCTACTATGATGGAAAATTTTGCTGGGTATAAATAGTCTGGGCTGCTGTCTGTGGTCCTCTGTTGTACTTTATATGTTATTTGGTCTTTTTCTCTTGCAGTTTTTAATATTCTCTGTTCTTTATACTTAGTGTTTTGATTAGTATATGCCAAGAGGATTTTCTTTTCTGGTCTAGTCTATTTGGCGTTCTGTAAGCTTCTTGTATCTTGATAGGCACCTCCTTCTTTAGGTTAAGGAAATTTTCTTCTATGATTTTGTTGAAAAATGTGTCTGTGTGACATGGGTTTCTTCTCCTTCCTCTATTCCTATTATTTGTAGATTTGATCTTTTTAGTGTTCTAGATTTCCTGGATGTTTTGTGCCAGGATTGTTTTAGATTTAACATTTTCTTTCACTGAGGTATTCACGTCTTCTGTCATGTCTTCAATACCTGAGATTCTCTCTTCCACTCTTGTATTTTGCTGGCAAGGTTTGCCTCTGAGATTCCTGTTCAAATTCCTAAATTTTTCATTGCCATATTTCCCTCAGTTTGGGTTTTCTTTATTTATTCTTTTTCCATTTTCTGGTCTTGAACTATTTTTGTTTGTTTTCTCATTTTCTTCCATTGTTGGTATTTTCATAGATTTAGGGATTTATTGATTTCCTCTTCAAGGACCTCTATCATATTCACAGAGGCTATTTTAAGGTCTTTTTCTTGTGCTTCAGCTGTGTTGAAATACTCAGGGCCTGCTGTGGTAGGGTTGCTGGGCTCTCGTGGAAATGTGTCCTGGCTGTTACTCTGTTTTTACACAGATGTCTAGACATTTGGGATTGGAAAGGTTATCATTCTAGGTGCTGATAACGGGTCTTGTCTTTGTTGGGCGGGTATTTGTTCTTGGTTTCTGTTGCCCTCTCTAGTTCTTAGGAGAGTGTTGGCCTCTTCTCAGGTCCTGATTAGGTGTGGCCACTGGTGGTTCCAGGTAAAATGTGTTTATGGGTATTGGAAGCTGACACTTAGGAATGGAGATGGGGGCGGGGCGGGGTGAGGGAGTCCACAGGGGGGAGGAAAGCAGGGTGTTCACCAAGGTCTATTTAGACTCCTGGGAGTGGGGACAGAGTGTGGTGATAATATTGTATACCCTAATAAAATTTACCTGAAGATCAGAGAGACAAAACAAGCCACTAGATTAAACATAGAAGCCAGACAGTGGTGGCACACACCTTTAATCCTAGCACTTGGGAGGCAGAGATCCATCCGAATCTCTGTGAGTTCAAAGCCACCCTGGACTACATGAGATTGACTCAAGTCTAGGAGAGAAACAGCTAGACAGTGGTGGCAGACACCTTTAATCCCAGTACTTGGGAGTCACATGTCTTTAATCCCAGCACTAGGAAGACTGAGACAGGAAATGGCATGGCTGGGCAGAGAAAGGTATATAAGGCATGAGGAGACAGTCTTTCAGCTGAGGAAAACTTTTCATGCTGAGGAGTCCTCGAGGTAAGAGTTGGCTTGTTCCTTTGTCTCTCTGATCTTTCAGCATTCACTCCAATATCAGGCTCTTGGGTTTTTATTAAAAGACTGTTTAGAATTTGTGTTACAACAGAGAATGAGGAGAAGCCACAACAGGTCTGTTACAAAGTTGGGAATGAGATTGGGGGGATTGGATTTGCAAGAATGGAGGGGGAGATGAAGCTCTGCCCTGAGCTACTTGCTTCCATTAGAGTAGCCTATGGGTTCCCAGGGAGTGCCCGCTGGGAAGGTGGGATAAAGCACTGAGTGGGGGGAGGGGGCCCGGAGGGGAAGATCTGTGTGATCCACTGGAGTTGGGGGAAGGGATGAGACTAGGAGATTGGGTTTGGAGGAACTGAGGGACTGGAGTGCATACCTAGCATTTTTTAATGTGGGTTCTGGGACTGAACTCAGGTCCTTACACTTGCCCAGCAAGTATTTTACTGAGCCATCTCCCCAGCCCTTGCCAGGGTTTTCACAGCAAAGTTTTCCTTAGTTACAAAGAATGTCAGCATGTATTTTCCTTCTATAGTACAATGATTACTATGGGGCTCGGGGCTCCTATTCAAACAGAGACCATCTGACGTAAAGCTTGGCTTCATACTGAAAAAGCCAGTCAGTCTCCCTAAATTGTTTTTGGTCATGTGCTGATGTTGCATGTATGCACCTCTGCTTTCCCAGAGAAACTGTTTTAAAACTTCCTGTTTAGATAATGTGTACACATAAGGGTGGATAAATAGTATAAAACAAGAAAAGGTAAAACTTTGATGGAAAAACATTGCCCTTAACCAGGTAAAATTTGTAAGATAGCCAGTGACATATATAGATGAATTCTATGTCTGTATTTTGTTAACACAGATTAGAAAGCCAGAAAAACCATTCCCTGAACACACGACCTGGCAAATCAAATGCAAAAGCACTGACCGGCTCCCCCCTCCGACAGGGGCTGCCTGGCCTCCCAGCAGCCACCTAGGAAAGCTTATTAAACTTCTGCTGCTTCCCTGATGGTCTGTGCCAGCAGGTTTATGTGAACAGTGAACAGTTACAAAGCTCAGGGAAGCCATTGCTCTTTGCTTATGCTGAGGTTAGCTGTAGACAGTTTTATGTTCTTAGGTGAGCAGAGGCATGTCTTCTGTTTCTCTGATGGTGGACTTGACACTTGGGTACACTTTGATTTACCAAGCGAAATGGAACCCAAGACCTTTTATCCATATGTGTGCTTCCCACCAGGGGTGCCTGACCTTTTGACAGGACCGCATTCACAGCTATTCTGGGATCTTACTGCTCACAAGCTGTAGGTTGGATGCACCTACTCTACACGGTTCCCACATGCGGATGATACTGATTTCTGTTCATCTGCAAGGGTGTGAAATGCTGACGTGATTCCGCTGGGGTTTCTAATTTAAGTACTGACTGTGACCGTCCTAATGGCCACAGTTGAACAGTCTGGAGAATTTCTTCCATTGACGCACATGCACACACACACCTGAAATAATTAGTGAAGGGCTTATGTTAAGCAGATAGGTTTATTAAAAATAATGCTAATATAATCCCGGGGCACACTGATTTCAAGAGGGTCTTTGCAACGGTTTTCATCATAATCACTTATCAACTAAATAACAATGGTTAACTTAACTTATAGAATCACTAAATAACAGGAAAAGAAAGGACCAGGCTAATCCAGTAGAGACTGAGATGGCCTTGATATCCCCTAAACATCTGTCCAGCTGGCAGCCATGGGCAAAGCTGGTCTCTAGAGGGTTAATCAGGGCCCAAAGTGATCTTTGCAATGGACTCCTCCTGCACCTGCCAAGGCTCCAAAAGGCTTGGGAGCCAGAAGGAAAGCCGGAGCAGTATCCTATACTGTTCCAGCTGTTATAAAGGACTAAAGGCCAGTTAAAGATGTTCATGTTTGCTATTTCAAAATGCTAGTTTTAAAAAATGTCACTAGCAACGTGTGTGTTTTCCCCTCCGCGTCTCTTAAAACCCCGAACACCCAGTGTCGAAACACTCGCGGGAGAACCAGAGAGAGGAAGAGGGGAGAAGACTGGGGCAGATGCTGGTACTGCTGAGGGGCTGTGGATGCCGGGTATGGCGGCACTAAATCCCCCAGTAAGGCATCAGGTGTCGGGACTCCTTCTCATAAACGTCTGGAATGACGCCATAGGGTGTCTGTACCATCTTAACCGTCGACTTCCCGAAGAGCTGGCTCTCGTAGTCTATCAGCTGCCTCCAGAAGCCCACGTTGGGCCTGATGACAGGCCTCCGGGCTTTCACCCAGTTGTATGCCTCCAACAGGCACACGTTGTGGAATTTCATCAGGTACGCAATACATAGAGTGGCCGAGCGGCTCACCCCGGCAGCACAGTGCACCAAGGTAGCCCCATGCTTCTTGCTGACGCTGTGGATCTTGTCAGCCACGGTGTCAAAGTACAGCCTAATGGGGGCATGAGGAATGTCAGCCAGAGGCACTTTAACATATTCAAACTGGGGCCAGTTGAAGTTGGGGATCTCGATGGTAGCATTAACGATGCAGGTGATGCCCCGGGCCTGGAGGAGGTGCCTGTTGGAGGCCACACTGCCTCTGCCCAAGAAGAGAGAGGAGGTGATCTGAGCAATGCCTCCTATGTCTCCCTCGGAAATCATCCGAGGAGCCATGAGAGTTCGTGGGAGCGTGCTGTGACCTCTGGAGCTCATGAAGATGCCGGTAGTCACACTTTCGTCATCAGGGGGCAAGACCAGAGAATGGTGGAGTCCGTCCTCCACCGGGGAATTCAAGACTGCAGCCTCCTTCCTGCAAGATACAGGTCTCTGTCAGAACTTTACATGGTATTCGTTTACCACAGCTGCCTCCAGTGCTTGGGGGAAGGGGAAGTTATTTTCTAAGGCAGAGTGCATTCTTTGTAGGAAGTATATATAAATCATTTTCTATTGACTATTAGGAAATGTAGCCTGCGATGCCAATATGTAAAAATCAATATAAAACTAAGCTGCTTTTTTTTTTTTAAGCCCTAAATAGTCGCCCTATTTTTAGGAAAGTTAAAGACAGAAAACATGCCTAACTGGTTCCTGAAGAGCCATCTGGCAGAATCCCGCTGAAGGAGGGGGTATTCCTTGATTTCTCAGTGTTGGGATCAAACCCAGATTCAAGCTGGCTAGGCAAGTGCCTCATCACTAAGTTGCTGTCCCTGTCCAAAAATCGGAAAAGTGGTACTCCAGAGCCCCAGCATCATGTGCTCCTCACCCCATGTTTTCCTAAACCATTCTAGACAAGGAGACCTTGTGGAGAAGGTGTAGGAAAGAGATGTCACATCAGACAAAGTAGGTAATAACTGCCTTCACGGAACAACAAAACTAGCAACAATAAAAAATAACAAACAAAACAATAAAACAAAAAAGCCACCTTCTTTACTGTTTAAAAATCCTTTTTTTATATTTACTTCTTGTGTGGGGTGTCTGTGTGTATAGATGAGGGGCCATGAGGAGATCAGAGGACAACTTGTGGGGGGGGGTTGGTTCTCTCCTTCCACCACAGGGGTTTCAGGGATCGAACTCAGGTTTATCAGGCTTGGCAACAAGCTCCTTTACCTGCCGAGCCATCTCACCAGCCCCAAGACGTCTGTTTCTTAGAATTCTTATAATACATGAATACTCTGGAAGTCCAATTAAATTTGGGTAAACTACTGTGGCCTTCCCATGAAAATAATCTCAGGCAATTTGAAAGCACAGTTATTGTGTGTGTGTCTTTATATGTATACAGTGCTGGAGAGAACCCGGGCCTGCCTCAAACAAGCTAATAAGTACCAAGAGAGTTGAACCCTCAGCTTTAAAGGTCATGCATGGTCTTCAAATTTTATTACTGTCAATCAGCTAAATGGGAATTTATCTGAGCTGACCTGAATAATGTAAATAATAACCTTATCTTCCTCTGCCAATTCTAAGCTCCCAGGTGAATTTTACTGGGTCCAGGGATGTGCTGGAATTAACATTAAATTTAGTTCAGTATCTGAAGTCTGTATTTTCTCATTAGTAAAGTGTTTAGTATAAAATATCGGTGTGTATTTGTAACAACAGAAGAGGAAATTATTGATCTGGGCGTGGTAGCATATGCCAGGCAGGGGACTGCGAGTCCCAGGCCAGCCTGTGCTACTCAGGGAGACCATGTCTCAAGAAGGAAAAGACAATTATTGTAATTTGGTTTCCTGAGATTGCAGACATACTACTCTCTCACTGCCAAACCAACATGTCTCATAGTTGATGCATCCTGACAAGTGTGTAACAGCAGCCTGGTGCCATGGGAAACCGGGGTGCTCAGCCAGACAAACATTCCAGCCTGTGCAGTGGCAGCACCATGGTACTCACGTGCTGAGGAGCCCAGAGAGCCGGAGCCCTTGGTCTGGATCCAGACGGTCTTAGGTAAACAGTGGTTACAGCGTCTACAAATCAGATCTGTAGGAAGACAAAGAGGCAAGGATGTAGTGAGTCAGGAAGTTCCCTGCGATTCCTCCTGGGTTCTTGCTGCTAAAAATCAAATTTGGGGTGAATCTTGAAAGCAGGGGTCTGCTGAACATTTCTGGTGTGACTGAAGGAATATACCAGCTAAGTCTCAGAGACATAAGCCCGTAGTCTGCAAGCACTAGCTACAGTTTTGGCCATGACAGGGACAAAGGCAATTCGGGGACCACATCACACGATACCACTGAAGGCGTCACAGAGTGCTCTCCCAGCCTCTGTAAGACAGAGCCACAGCCTCTGGGCACCTGCTGTCACCCCAGGAGCATGAGGACCTGAAGTCACAGCAGGAAGAACAGAGTGGCAAGAACAGGTGGCAAGATAAGCTATGACGCGGGGCACAGAAGTGCAAGGTGGGGTGGGGTGGAGTGAGCGTTGTCTTCATACGTGGGTCCAGGACAGCATCACAGCAGGGCCACAGCCAGCAGCACCAACAGCTGGCCCCGCTGTCCAGGGGAGCAAGCTGGAAAGTTCATCCTCTTCCCAATTCGAGCCTTTGTCCATTCTGCAGCCTGACAAGCACCATGCCCGTCTCCAGAAAGGGCTTCCCTCCCACGCAGATCCCCCGCCTCACCCAGATAAATGTCACACTTACATGCTCAGTTACAGCTTAGCTCACATGTACATGATGCATAAACTGACATAACCACCTAATGTGCCACCTGACAGTTTTGACACAAACACTCCAGACGTCGGACCTTCAAAATAATAAATGCCCAAATACGGCTCATCCTACTCAACACCTCATGCTCCTTTATAATCCATTCCTCTTTGGGTTTTGAGGGTGTGTGTGTGTGTGTGTGTGTGTGTGTGTGTGTGTGTGTGTGTGTG